ACATCAGTAAAAAGATCTTGTTTACAGACGTCGATTAAGTTTTTTGGTGTCTTCCACATTATTTTTACACTGTGCGTTCGAACCTAGGCATATTCCAACAAGACTGCTATGCCTACGAAACATACTGAATAAAGAACGTTACGAATGTTACTGAAGTCTAAATGTACATAACATTTTCCGTCTTGCAAAGTTCCCTCAAATTCTCAATCACTACCTCCAAAAATACAATACCGGCACTGTAAATATGCTATCATCGATCATTTGCAACAAATACGAGGGTGTTCTTCATTTTATCAAAACTAGTTATTTGGAGTCACATACTGTGAAGCGCTAGAATTAACCAACTAAATATCTAAATCTCTGATTGCTTTGATGCCGAAAATGAATAACTAAAGTTAAACACTCTTTTAATCAATCTTTGTCTGTTTTGGAAGTATCAATATGCATCCCTTATCTTTTCAGACATACGTGTTTCCAATGCCTCAGCAGTTTGCATCTTCGATCTGGCGCAATCTTTCTTAAGTCTGCAATATTATGCACCCTTTTATTTGAATGGAGTTGTATTCTAAGAATTTTAACATTTAAAGCACCCACAGGGGTATCGGCTTTTAATAAGAATGATCATATTAAGCTGATCATTAAGTTTTAATCTTACAAGCATATTGTTTAGGCCACGTCCTTATTTCATACTATACCAAACTTTTTAAATGTTGGAAACGCAATGTCAACCTTCTCACGATGCCTACCATCTTAATATTTCCAGATAACTTTTCTCCTTGGTCTTCTATTTTAGCTGCATGGTGTATCATTCTCGGGATATACGAAGCAACAGTATCAGTCTCCTTCATTTTAGTCAAAATATTCCTCATATGATGTTATTATACTGACCTCGCTTTTATTACCGCGAATGAATGCTAAAAATTATTTCACTTCCTTTGAAGATTTTGCTATTTAAATTTGTCGTGGTTGATTGTGTTTGAGGGTTGGCATTAGGATGGCCAAGACTTTTTAATCTATTCGTATCCATTATGAAGGATGTTCATTCGGTTTCGTTTTACTTTCATCAACTAGGTCCTGAAAGTCATGGTTCCGGAGTACTACCTCGACATGAAATTTATAAGACTGATAATTACTACGATCAGGGTGCAGTTTTGTAAACCTTCATTAAACTCGTTTGCACAACATTCATTATTCATTCTCAAGGATGCAATTTAAATAAGACAAAAACTACGTGTGAGACTAACACTCGGTTGACGCGTCTTTTACTCGATACGTGGCTTACGAAGATAACACTCAAATTATACGTGCTTCACACGACTTACGAGGGTGGCACATGAGGTTGGCGTGGTAACTAGCAAAAAAAAATAGCAATTTCTCTCCATCCCCCATACACCGTCTCTTTTTAAATACGCGGTCCATGGCCAGATTCAATTTCCGGATAAAATTATAACAGCATAAGTTAAACGAACATCTTAGAGCTGAGTTTTCAACCAATTGAAAGTATTCGTGCTGCACCGCATTATGAGATTTTCAATATCTTAGGTATAAATTGAAAGACGAAACAATATGCCCATAGTACTTTTTATGACTTGGAGTCATTAAGGGTGAGAATCGAGATTCATACCTTAATTTCTTGTTCTATGACCCATGTATTCATAAATGTTAATAATTAGAGATTAGCATCTGCTATATCTATACAGGATCAATTCTGAACACAAATTTACCGACATTTCGAGAGCCTTCAAAGGTTAGCGTCCGTGCACTGCGTGACGTTACAAATTCCAAGAATTGGATATTGATTCCTGAAATTTCATAAGACTCGCTTACACTGAAGAGGCCTCTGGAACTTTCTGCAACTTTCGATGATTTGTGTCTGTGCTAAATGCGCACGCACGCTGGCAAAACCGTTCCCTAAGATGCGAATCAGAAGGGAGAAGTTTCCAAAACCCAATAGCTTTCAAGTGGAAAGTCCCACAACCTTCAAAGTTTCAAGAACGTTCTGGAGTTATCGACAGACCCCATTAAAGCAGACGTTGCGCATTATCTCAACGGCGATTCCCTGTCGAAAAAGATACATTTTTGTGCAATATTTCATCTTGTCCCCGCATCAGGAACTTTCGAACAGCGCTCCTGTACCTGTACCCCTTTCAAAACAGTTGTCGGAGAGTATCCCCCTCAATCTGAAATGTTACCGAGGGGAGGCCGCCAACAGATGCATTTCTAAGAACTCTTTCGTGACTCGACCTACTCTCTTCTTAAAATCATCGATGTGCTCTCTACTCGGATGCTTCCAAGAAACTGATCTGTATGCGTGAGATAAGGAGTATTAACGGGATTCAAGGACTAGGGGACTTGTTTTGATCAGCTGAGGGAACGAAAAATTTCGCTATGAGGTTTTAGAAGCGAAAGTAGGACGAGACGTGGCGCAAAAGTGCACCTTTTTCAACCGTTAATCACCGTTGAAATAACGCTTTGTATCTGCGTTTAGGGGGATGGAGGGAAGGGGGCATCTTTCAATAATTTCGGGACGTTTTCAAAACGTTTCATGTCGTGAGAGATTTCGCTTAGCGGCTACAGGGTTCCGGAATCTTCTCCCTGCTGGGCCACATCTCGGAAAACGCTTTATCCATCGGGCGAACATGAACACGAACCATCGAAGTTCGTAAAATGTTCTGAAGATCCGTCAAATGCGTACCACTATCGTGAAATTCGAGAATCAACGCCTGATTCTTGTAATTCTTGACGTAACACCCGGAAATTGGAGGATATCCGACCTTAGTTGGCATGGAAGTACACAAAATTGTGGGAATTAACGCCCGACTTTTGGAATTCGTGATGTCGCACCTGGTGCGGACGCGAACCTTCTCAAGTTCTCGAAGTGCCGGTAAACGTCGGTATAAGAATCAATGTCTAAAACCAGCTCTGTATATTTACTTCTTTGAGAATGCACACTTATATTCTTCCCAGCACTAAGATATTGAAACTTTCATTTTTAGTAACTTGGTTGCGTCTAGCTAAAGGCTGTAGGTTACTTAAATGCTCAGTACTTGCTTTTTTATCAGTAGACGCTATATGTTACACACAGAGATGTGGTTGGCTTCAACTGTGCCTACTTCCTTGATAATATTTATTAAAAAGAAATAAAACGAAATTTATTTATTATTAAAAAAAATGTATTATTAAAAAAGAATAAAACGAAAAGTTAATTTGAAAAAACCAACTTCTCGTAAAACAACATCGAACAAGCAGGGAGTCGACACTTGCTTTACTACGCTAATTTCAATAATACTAGTTTCCAAGTTGGTACATACTTATCGTCCGACATTTTCTCTGACGCATATCCGAAAACACATTCAACAGAATTTTTCACAACCTGAAAGAACTATTGAGGACCTTTTTTGTATTAAAAAAAAAAAGGCATTCAAATCCACGTTCTGGCCCTAGCGCGCTCCCTTTGTTAGTTTTCAACACAACACCTTCTATCTTGATTTGAATTAGTTAATTACGTTTTCGTTTCTGAGCATTGAGGACATGATCACCATCACGCCGTTTTAGCTATCCTCACATACATCTAGTAATGGTGCTGGTATCTGGAGGTTCCTTTTGCGGATACCATCAATTATAATTCCGAAAAGCCTTTTCACCATAATCTTATAATCAAAATGGCAATCCCTTGAAAGGGAGTTATTTGTTAAATTCTTAAGTTTTTCTTGTGATATGTACTGGTTGAATATTTCAAAAGCAATGATTTCGATATTTTACAACTTTTATGTCACTTTAAATTGGATACCTTCTTAAGTAGCTTATCAATGTAAATTAGGAACTCCGCTAGGTCCACATTTTAGCACATCTGATACTGAATTCAAAATAATACGTAACATATAATTCCTTTCATAATATTAAACAGAACAGAAACCGTTTAGAGCAAGATATTAGGTATATTAAGTTTCTTTTACTTGAAATACAAGAAATTGCTACCATCGAATAGTTTTGGAGGGTACCTATTATCCTTGCATCTGTTCTTAGATATATATGTTCGTAAGCAATACTATATAAGTTATAAGAGAACTCGTGGTCACGGTTTATACAGCGCTATTCTTGCTGAAAAGCGCGTCGAAAAGTCCTATACTATTTTTTTTTCCTATAGTGCATAAATAAAAAAAAATTAATAACTAAGTCCAGCACAGCCAATCAATCACGTTCCCGAGTGGAAGACATAGCGGAGAGGACACCGCTAAGGCTGCTATGACACAGACAGCCGAATGCAGTCCTCTCTGCTATGCCTTCTGTTCGGGAACGCAATTGATTAGCTGTGCTTGACTTAGTTATTACAGGAAATACATGCATTGTCTGAAAAAAATAGTTTAGGATTTTTCGACTCCTTTTTCACCAAGGATAACGCTGTATAAAACGTGACTACATATTCTGTTACATCTTATATAGAATCTCTCTCCTTCCCGACATTTCTAAATGTATTATTTCCTCATAGAAATAAGCAAACAGGTGTATTCAAATTTAACATGTTTTTAATTATTTTGGAAAACTCATATTTTTTTTTAATGTTCCGATATAGATGTACTATGTTAAAAAATCAAACATACTAATATTTTTAGAAAAGAACTGATATTCAAACCAACTACGGAGTTGTTTTATCTAGACCTAATAATTAATTATTCAGATAATTAGAAGTTCGTAACTTACAAGAATTACGGACGTATATAGGTTTCACCACCCAGGTATTCTGACATCACTTCCTTCCCCTTCAGAAGAAACATCTTGGGTTTGAATCCTTGCATTCTACTGCTGAAACATCGGTGGATGACAAATTGGTTCTGGATTATAACATTCGCGTTAAGCGATCCGGTATCTGCCTGATTTAGGTCCTTGGTAGGACTGATTAATGTGTATAGTTAGACGTTTGCATCTGATTTAACTTGACCTTAAACGTCGTATTGTTTCTCGCCATTTTTTATTATGCGTTTTGTCACATGAATCAACAGTTGTAGTTCAATCCTGCATATGTACACCACTAAATGCGTTAAAGTTTTTTCATTCTGCTTACAGATCCAATCCTGGTACACCGACGCAGGTTCGTCGGCCAAACTTTATTGACGTATCTGAAGCGCCGAACTTTTATGAGGCACATCAGGGTAATGGGGGCGGAAACGTTATCGTTGGTTCGCGCTACAGTCCGCAGCGTCGCTTCCTTTCGGAGAGCGAACTAATACGTCAAGGCAACGAACACCCTTATGCCAGAACGAACAATACCGTCGACAATATCCGCGAGCTGGCGGGTTCACCCCAGCGTGGAGTTTACACGTGGAAGGACAACTCGCCTGGCAGCTACCCTCCGTCGAGCTCGGTGACAACGTCGGCTGGAATGACCGGCCCGAGGCAACCTCTCGCCCAGAGAACAGCACCGACGTATGATTATTACCGCTCAAATCCTACGAGTCCCACGCAACAACCATATTCCAACACTCCAAGATCAGCGTATCATCCGGCAGTTCGGGGTGGGGTCCCGGTTCTTCCGCCACCTCACCAGTCGCCACAGGTTAAAAGGAAAGCTAGCATGGCTACGCCAACAACACCCACCTCCGGGGACGCTAGACGCAGACCTCTGTCCTTTGTTAGAGCCCTCGAAATGACGGACTCTATGGAAATGGTTTCTGCCCCAGGCGACACCAGGGGTCAGAGGCCCACTACACCTACTCCCGATCGTGCCAGCGTTTATGATATGAATTATGAGATATCTGTATAGCCCGTTGATTCGGACTTTCTTCTATCCTGCGGATGGCCGACTTTTTCTTCGGCATTTTTCAGTCTAAGCGACAGAGTTGATGGAAGCGGCGCTGTATCAGCTTAGGTGCTGACTCTTAGACCTTGGGCTGCTTTTGCTCCAGAGGTTAAAACAATTGTAGTAGGGATTGAACAGTGTTTCAGACGGACAAAATTTGAAATACATTTTAATCGTACGTGTGTGTATGCAACAAAATGTATGTCGTACGACGCTGTCTGTCGTCCAATAATTTTGGATGCTGTTTTGTAAGCCAAACTTCAGTCAATGGTTACGTGAAAAACGGATTATTATACTCTTTTAATCCCGAATATCTTGATTTGCCCATGTCAAATAAGACAAATGGAAAAAGCGGAATAAGTTTACACGAATTCGGGTTAATCATAGTATTACTTGATTAACACTGTGTTCAAATATGCTTGAAATTTGATATCACTCGAAACCGGTACTCCGTTTTATATGGCACTGGTGAACCAGAATTCTTGGAATGAAAATAAAGTCACTCGTCCCATAATATATTTCCTCTTTATATTTTTTTAACATATTTCATATAAGAATAACTCAGAATAAACATAAATATGTATATTTGAGACAGACTAAACGCAATGAGACATCCAGGATGTATTGTAAATTCCGTTATTTTTTTATTGAAAATGGTTTTTATTATATGAACTAGAAAGGAGAAATCTGGAAAGAGAGAGAAATTCTTAACAACTAAAAGACCAGATAAACAAAATTTAAGAATAGAATCGAACAATAATTTGGGTATCAACCTTAATCTTCGGACTACAGTAAAATGTCAGTGAATCTTCAACTTTTAACATTTAGGAAAATCTTAAAAGTTCCACATAGCTTTACTTAATACCTTGCGATCCGCAGTACAGGAAGTATCCTGCATGGCTCTCTTGCTTAGGCAAACTGAACTTATGACGTGTACTTGGCCGCACTTTTTGTTGGTCATGAATGAGTGCCAATGGAAAAGCTTCTATTAACATTACATTTTACTTTTTGATTTGTTTAAATAAAAAAATGAAGGTTCTTACACCTGCACACAATGTGCATGCCGTTACTGATAGGTGACTGCGAATTATTTAACCTTCGTATTTATGCTCCAAAAACGGAAACGTACTCTGAAATCCAATATCACCTCACTGTATGATATTACTCATTTTCATTGCTTTTGTATTCATTATTGTGAAAACGTAGTCCGTCACCGGTGAAACAATGAAAAGATTTGAAATTATATTTTGGAGGAACTTTAAGTAAGAAGCAATTTATTGAGTCAACATTTCTCGAATACAAGAACGAGTGTATTAATAACGGAATTTACGTTTATCAATAGCTGTTGTATCCTAATTACCCTATAATTACTATGTTGTTTAAATTTCTACTATAGAAATTTACTTCCTCTGACATACACATGGGACCAGTTCGTAACTTGTGGATCATCCGGGATTCCAAGTCCATCAAAGAAGGGATCTAGGCAGGTCCGATAATTTCTAAGAGTTGTTAGAACTATCTGAAACACGCCAACAATGTATCGTAAAAAAGTCAAATCGGTATCAACGTTTTCGACGCTTACGAAATTGAACGGAATTTCACCCAGACGCCTTCTATCGCAGGAATCTTCTTCGAGAGTCCGCAAGAGTCCAGAAAGCTGTAAGAAATCGCATTAAATATCACAGTCTTAAATTGATAATATTTTCTGACAAGATCGCGCGCGAGGTGTACATCTCTCAGATAATCATCTCTGTCCTATGAAAGTTCTGCGGTAAATGAGGGGTTTAGGGGACCCACCTTCGATGACCTTGATCTTAACAAATGTTGTCAAGTTCACTTCCCTCAGTTACCTCCACAAGGTTTTAGCTGTCTCTCGTTGTTTCTTAAAAACTTATTAACAAAATAATTTTGATAAGTTGAATGTACGTTTCCGACACTGGAGGTACATTTAAAGACTCAGAACTTACTATTATGTGCGTTGTATACAAATATTCATGCACTTACTATTCGGTTTTCCCTTCTCCTGTCGAGATTCTGTCATTACTCATAATCAATTCGTCGTGTAATGAGGCAGTTACACACATTATTCCAGACAAAGAATTCTACGAAATTTCAAAATGCGTTTGCACGATAATAGAATGAAGCGATGATTATGAAATATCATTAAATGAATTAGAATCTGTCGTATTGTTGCAGTTAAGAGATGGCCGCCCGCCGCGAGGCGGCCGGATCTTAATTACTAATCTAACCTGACCCAAATCAACTCAAATAAATTCATTCTAAAAATGTTGAAAATATTAACGTGTTAAACTTTTTATATCATATTTCTAATATTTGGAATGATTAATTTGTGCTATTGTGGGTTTAGATTAGGTCAATAGTTAGAATCCAGCCGCTGGGAGGGGGCCAACTACTATTCACTTACAGTAATGCACAAGTCTTTCGATGTATATTCAGCAATGAGGTACAAACAAACGAAATACGAGCGACGGCTAAAAACTTGTGGAGGTTACTCAGGAGGGTGACCTTGGCAATATATGTCAAAGTCAAGATTAAATGTAAACCTAGTGTCGAAAACGTATGTTCAATTCATTCAGATAATTTTGTTAATAACTTTTTAACAAACAACGAGCGACGACTAAAACCATGTGGAGGTCACTCAGAAGGGTGACCTTGACAACATATGTCAAGGTCATGGTCATCAGAGGTCGGCCCCCTAAACCCCACATTTACCTGTTCTACGAATGTTCACGTCGAATATTTCGTTATTCCTAGAATGTGTTGCAAATATTTAAAAAACAATGAATATTCATAAAACGTAGAATGTCCGCCTAGTAGATGTTTATATAATAACTAGGGGAATATTCGTTCAGATAGTCAAAAAATAACTTCATACTATTACTAAACAGTCCATTTTTTCTGCGTACTGAGTTAACTAATAAATTTAACGTTTCGCCTCGAACCTGTTTTCGGAGTCCTCGATAATGCTATACACCCGTCTCATTTTTAAACGCTGAAAAATTGTTTCGGGGTTGTCAGAAATCGAATCCAGGACGCACGAATAGACAGCAATTACGTTGACCCAGACGCTACCAAAACCTATGAACGATTAAATACTTTTCAGATTAAGTAAGTGCTTTTCTTCCAGTACCAATGATACTGGTTGTATTTTAGTTTAAATTTATCGATGATTATAAAATTATAAACTCAACGGAAAAAAATTAAAAATTATGTGTACTGCGACATTTGGATATAAAATTTATAATTTTTCTACACAATTTTATATATTAAAAGTATATGGGTTTTATGAATATTTTTAACAACGTATTGCAGTAAAATTATCAGGATACATATAATTTTGAGTATAGTTAATCAACTTTCATTTTTATTCTAATAATGCAACACAGAAATTGTTCGTATATGGTTTTATTTAACTTTCTTTTCCAATATTTTATAACTGTCATTTTATTGAAAAGTAAAATGATCATTTAATTTTCTATTACGTTATGAACTAGTGTGGAAATTCGCATTTACTATGGACTGGTTCGAAAAAAAATATGATTCAATATATTTACTACAGAATCAAAGAATACTTAAAAAAATGCATAGAAACTTCTTTGAAAATATTCTTAGCATGTTCTATATATATACATATATATTCATTGAATATCCCAAATATTCAGAGTATATCGAAAGATGTGGAGAATATTCATAGGTACAATGGTGTTATCTGGGTTTCGGTATATAATCCGATTTGGTCTACACAGTCAGCTGACAAGGGAAGTTCCCCGACCCGGAATTCAAAAAATTTTGAAACTTGAGGAATATTTAGTGTGTCTAGGTGAGTTACAAACAATTTTTTTTCTGGCGAAACGTCATTTTAAACGGGGGAAATCATCTCCCGAAAATTATTCGATTTTCAGTTTTTATTTTATTTCGCGCAAACGATGAGAGATATGACAAAATGTTTCCAATAAAAGATAATTTTCTTAATAAGAGTTTTCACATGGTGAAATAAAAAATTAAAAAATTGAAACGGTTGCAAGAAATTATTGCGAAATTGTAAATAACAATTTATATTAGTTTGGTTTCTTCGTGAAATATTACTGTACATGAAAAATATAAGAACGTAGGCTCGACACAATTTTTTTTTATTTTCGAAGTTCACCGTTTATTGTGGAAAACACCTCTTCTTAAGGACAAATAATTTTCAGAATTTCTTATTATGGTTCTAATGAACTACTTGTAACACCAACCAATTTCCTAATATTGTGGGAATAGAAATAATACCCTTTATTAAACGATGACCTTAATCGCGTAAGACACTTGTCAATTGACATTGAATATTTCAAGGAGAATCGGGTAGTATGTTACAATATGTAAGAATTTGTTTAATCATATATGTCTCGAATGTGTCAGAAACAATAAGATATGTACGTTTTATGTAGGTCATTGTTAATATGTAACTGGTATATGCTGAATTGTGTAAACTGGTATATACTGTTACAATTTTTAGGCTCGTAACTGAATTCACTATATTTATTACAACACGACTGCCTGCCTCAGTCGCTCCTCGCTCTTTATATATCATTACATTGAAGTGGCGGAGCAGCACCGGCTTACCCCTTCATAACCCTGTCAGAACGCAGGTAGACTCATTTAGGCGTGCAAACGATCCATCACGCGTCTCTAGAAAACGGAGGCTCAATCAGCACGGGCTCAGGTAGCCTTTACGTAAGAGAGTCAGTCTGACCTACCGGATACCACACCTTGCCATTGCAGGAAGTCAATCCATCGGTTCCTCCACCCTACACGTCGTATCAAGGTTAGACGCCTTTGGTCCTTCATCGTTGACGCTCCCCAAGTGTCCTCAGCGCGCTACGAGCATCCGCCCGAGAGTACGTTTATCCATTCGTAGAGCACATCATGCGCCTCCGCCCTCGCTGGCCGACGCTAATACAATCTCACGCTGCTGACTATGCTACAACTTATTCAGCTACTTTACATCTATACTACGCCTCATAATTCGCTTTTGGTTTCAACGGCCTCCGCCCCCGCTGGCTGACGTTAATACAATCTCACGCTGCTGACTATGCTACGACTTATTCAGCTACTGTACAATTATACTACGCCTTATAATTCGCTTTTGGTTTCAACCGCCTCCGCCCCTGCTGACCGACGCGAATACAATCTCACGCTGCCGACTATGCTATTCCTTATTCAGCTACTTTATTACTATACTAGGCCTTATAATTCGCTTTTGATTTCAACCGGCAACACACGCGATGCTGACATAACGTATCTTCCTTACGAGAATTCGAAGATTATTAGATTATTCTAATACTTCTTCTGATTCATTTCAATTTGAATCAATGGTGAGGGTGGAATTCCTCAAAGAAATGGATATAGCACAGACATTTGTCATACCATGAACATCGAATTACAGCATGACCGCCGCATGTAGAACAACGTGGCGCTTATATAAAATCCTGTTTACGGAACGCAAAGTCAACGGG